AGAATAGGAACAAACAAAAAGATTAAAATAAATTTACAAAGGAAATGTGTTAAAAATTTATTTACAACAACAATAAATAAATAAATAAATGTTTAGATTTAAATCTCTCACTCTCTTTATATTTTATAGTTTTTTTTTTTTTGTTGTCCTGCAATCAACAACAACAAACACGTTTTACTCTGTTTGTTATGTGTTTATATTTACTACAACAATCTTTCATCATCATTTTTTATTCGCCATTTTCTAAAAATTTTTTTTTGCTACAAATAAAACGAAATCACCAAAAGTAATTTTTTTTTTAATAATTAAAATTCGATTAGCGTCCATTTTGTTATTTTTTTTTTAATTTATTAAAAACGAAACCTTGAAATAAAAAAAAATTAACAACAACAACAACAGGAAAACATGTTTGTTTGTTTGTTTGTTATGATTTATGTTATGAAAAATAAAAAACACGCGAACGTCGTCGTTGACACCCTCGGGGGGTGTTAAAAAAAATAAATTTTTTTAACTTTTACTCGAATTTAAATTTGTTTTTTTTTTTTTAAACACAAATCAATCGATATTATTATTATTATTATTATCATTATCATTATTATTAATGATGATTATATTAAACGTTAATTTACGAGAAAAAAAAAAAAGGCGGGAAAATTTTATTTTATTTTAATTTATTAATTAGAAATTATTACGGAAGGGTGGACGGAACGGGGCGGGGACTGTGCGGGGGTAAGGGAGGAAATCGGGGAGGGAGGAAGAAAGAGAAAATATTATTATTATTATTTTTTTTAAATTTAGGTTCCTCCCATAAAAACCCGCCCGTAAAAAAAAAAAAAAATCGAGACCGTTATATTAAAAGTTGTTTTGTTCGATCACGTGTTATTAATTAATAAATGAATAAATAATTTTTTTGTTGTTGTTAATTTAATACCCGAATCGAATTTATTTACTTATTTATTTATTATTGAGAAAAATATCAAATTTCTTTAAAAAATAGCAAAAAAAAAATTTTCCATTTAATTCCGCCATCTTTCTTTTTTTTCTTTTCTATTTTTTTTTTTTTTCATTGATTGAGAGATACTCGAATAAATAATTTAAATTTTTTTTTTTTTTTTTAATTTACGACTTTCAACTTTTTTTTTTCTTTTTCATTCCAGTATTTTTTTTTTGTCCAGACACCAGAAAACAACGCAAAACGGGCATAAATCAAAAAAAGAAAAAAAATAAAATAAAATAAAAACGAAATAAAATAAATTCAAAACAGGATTCGCTTATTTATTTATTTATTATTATCATCATCATCATCATCATCATTATTATTATTATTATTATTTTTACTTATTTATTTATTTATAAACAACAAATATCAAAAAAAAAAAAAAAATTTACATTTGCTCACAAAAAAAAAGAAAAAAAAAAAGAAAATTTTTGTGATTTGAATATAAAATTTTAGAATTCATCGTCATCATCATCATTATCATCATCATTATCATCATCATTATTATCATCAACCTTTCGAAGTTTAATAAAAAAAAAAAAAATTTCAATAACAACAAAAAAAAATAATAAGAAAAAATTTATGTGTGTGAAATAATAATAAAAACAAAAAATTTTTTAAATTAAAAATGAAATATTGAGATGAAGGAAAAACGAAGAGAGAGAGAGAGAGAGATAGATAGAGAGGGGATTTGTTAAAACAGAGAGAGACAGATTTATTCAAGAGGTGAAAAGGGAGAAATAGAGATATTTCATTGGGAGAGAGAGAAAGAAAGAAAGAAAATGATTTTGTTGAAATAGAAAAAGAGATAGAGATTTTTTGTTTGAGAGAGAGAGAGAGAAAGAAAGAGATAAAGAGAGGGTTCATTAAAAGAGAGAGCGAGGGAGAGAGGGTTCATTAAAAGAAAGAGAGAGAGGGGGTTCATTAAAAGAAAGAGAGAGAGAATATCAAAGTTTATAAAAATATATGAATAATGTCGACAATTGTATCATAAAAGATTTTTAAAAAAAATTTTCTCTCTCTCTGTCTCTCTCTCTCTCACTTATTAAATTATTAAAAAAATAATTAATTACTATATAATGTATGTACATAAGGTGTAACCCGAGTTGAGGCCGAGACGATGAAGTATGCCTTGACACAAGGCTGAAACTTTTATGACCGAAAACTTGTTATTATTAACTTTACAATATGTAAACAAATTGTATTACACACAAATTTTCCCTCTCCATTTTATTATTATTATTATTATTATTATTATTCAATTATTATCATTATCATTATCATTATCATTATTATCATTAAACCAAGCATGTGTGTGCATGTATACATACACTAGAATTTGATTACCGGGTAAATGTTATCGGAGGGGGGAAAAAAAACAAATTCACACCACATATATTTCAAAAAAAAAAAATTTTATAAGTGTGATATCAAAGTACGGTTGTGCCAACATAAAAAAAAAATTAATTTTTTTTTTTTACGTAATTAATAAGAATTAATTTAATTGGAGCGAATAACGAATAACATTCGTTTAAATCATAAAATTTCACAACCATATTTTTAATTAATAAATAAATAAATTTTTTTTTTTTTTCCATTTCATTGTTATGTATACATAAATGTTAAATTTATGTACGGTGGGGAGGGAAGGGGGAAGCCCCAAGCAATCGTCCTTTACAAAAAAAAAAATTTTTTTAATTTTTCTTCTTTTTCCTCTTTTTCCAAAATGGTGAAAACTCGGAGACAATAAAAAAAATTTGATTGAATTTATTTACATTACATCTTCACACGATTTTATTATTATTATTATTTATTCCGTACCTTAATGAGGTCGATTAAAGTCCTGGAGTATTGTTTAATTTTAAAAAAAAAAAAATTGAAAGGATTTCCTTGATTGAAAAATTTTTTTAAAAAAAAGTTGTATACCTCGAAAATTAATCTGATGTTTTTATAAAAAAAAAAAATTTTGTGTTTGTGTGTGAAAGAGAGAGAGAGAGATTACTTTGGCAATATCTTGTTTTAATCTCAAAATGTCGTTAAACACGTTCCAACGTTTAAAAAAAAAAAAAAAAAAGATGCGAAGAAAAATGGCGTTTAAATTGTTTTAACGAAATGGTGGGAAAACGATGAAAATCTTTTAAAAAAAAAAAATTTACTCTCGAAAAATTTTATGATAATTTTTTTCTCTCGTACATCGTATTGTAATATTTCATTCGCGATAAAACATCTCATTTAAAAATAAATCATTTAATTTTACAGCGGGGGGGGGGAGCGAGGGGAGAAGGGAAGTAGAAGGAAAGAAATAGAACGAGAAGAATTCTTACTTTCCCCCATCCGGAGTGTAAAAATCGTTCAACGATTTAAAAAATTTATTATTATTATTATTATTTTTCTTTGACGGCGTCTTCTGCTCTCAATGCGAAAAACAATACATAATAATAATAATTAATAGAGGTGTTGCGCACGCACCCCCCCCAAAAAATTTTATCCATCGTCCGATGTGAATTTTTCTTTTTTTTCTATAAAATTTAAAATTTTTTTTTAAATCGATCAATGCACACGAATTGATTTTTTTTTTATCGATCGATATCGATTTTAAAAAATTAATAAATTGAAATTATTGATTATCGAATAATTATTATTATTATTATTATTATTATTATTATTATTATTATCGTCTTTGTCGTAGTGATTTGTGTCGAATCGTTCGGATTTAAACAAAAAATTCGTGTTTGACACTACGTTTTTACTATTATTATTATTATTATTATTATTATCGCTTAGACCGCTCCTGATAACTTATGAAAATATTCCTTACATTATTATTATTATTATTATTATTATTATTAATATTATTACGTAATAAAAAAAAAATTTTCCGATTGGAAGAAAAAAAATTAATATCCTGAGGTTTTTAATCAATGAAGCCGTTAACGGTTTGTTCTCGTTGGAAAATTTTTTATTAAATTTTTTGCTTCGTCAGTACCGTAACTAGTTAATAAAAACAAAATCGTTATTATTATTATTATGATCATCGCATAATGAAATTCGATTTCGATAAATCGATCGCGAATAAAAAATAAACTTCATAAAAAATATTAAGTAACAAACGATCACTTCTGGAAAAAAGAAAAAAAATTTTCCAGAGGATTTTTTTTTTTAAATTTATTTTCGGCGGGTTGTAATTAAAAAATAATAATAATAATAATGATGATGATAATATTTTGTAATTAATCAATTAAGTTAATAATTAATTAATAGCGTGAAAAAAAAAAAATTTTCCAGGAGTTCCAGCGTTTATTTTGCGGTCGTTTATTTTATTTACGACAAAAAAAAAATTGTTATCGCCGTCGTCGTCGTCATCATTATCATATTTACCTTTTCCGCGTCCGTAATTTAATACTATCATTATCATTATTATTATTATTATTTTAATAAAATACAAAAAAAACATTACATTATGTATTTTTAAACGACAAATAAAATTATTAAAATAAGTAATACATAATTAATTTTTTTTTATCGAGATATGAAATAAAATTTTTTTTTTCTCCCTGTAAAAGGTCTCATCGTCATCATCATCATCATTATCATCATCATCATCACCATCATTATTATTATTATCATCATTATTATTATTAATATGGGTTTTGAATTAAGGAAGTTTCGTCCTCCTTGAACTCAAATTTTTTATTAATTTTTATTTATTATTTACGCGCGTAAATTTTTAATTATTATTATTATTATTATTATTATTTTAAATATTCAAAAATTTTTATTTTATTTTCCATGCATATTATTATTATTATTATTTTTATGTATTTATTAAAAAATAATTAAGAGTAATAAATGTTAATTTAAATTTTATACAGCCGGTTAAATATATTTTTATACACAAAAAAAAAAACCGGAAATGAAAGTTTCGTTACCAGATGTTTTGTTTTATACGCGTTCCGTTTTTCGAAAGTAGAATTTTCTGTTAGATATTTAAATGTAGTGTAAAATGAGTGTCCTACTACTACCGTCTGCTGTTGTTAACCCGACAGGAAACGGAAAAAGGGTCGCTCTGAACCGTACGGGACAAAGGAAACCGGATGTTTTTACGTTTTTAAACGAATTAAAGAATTTATTACTCTGGATAAGAGGTAATTATTACCGACATCGTTGTTTTCAATTTTTATCCCACATCAAAACATTTTCATCTTCCTCCCCCCTTTTCCCTTTTCCTCCTCCCCAGTTCGTTTTACCAAATCTACAACCAAACATTCGCTCGATTCCAAAACATTTTCAAACGAAATTTTACTTTTCGTTTTTCCAGTAAACGTACCGGACAATTAAAACGAATCCATTTACATTTTCTATAAATTAAAATTAATTATAAAAGGATACGTAAATTTAAATATTAATAATAATAATAAATATTTCTCCAGCTCGATTCTCCAGCAAGGAGGACAAAAAAAATTCGACAAAAATTCCATTTGAAAAACGTTAATATTTAATTTTCATATACAATTTTCCCCCATTTCACCCTTATACATTTAATTATTATTATCATTATTATTATTATTATTATTTTTCCGTGTGTGTGTGTGTGTTTTTCCTCTTATCCGAACGTGTTTAATTTCGCTACCAAACGGAAAAAAACACGTTGGAAAACATTCGGAAAATGCCAACGAAAAAAAAGAAAAAATGAAAAAAAGGTCATCGAAAATTTCAAAAAAAAAAAAAAAAATGATTTATTGTCACGTGATTAACAAAAAATAATTTCGGGTTACGTAACAATCCGTTATACGAGTCAAAGGTCAATTAGACAAAGACAATAACATACGAACGAACAAACGAAGGAACAAACGTTTGATTTATTTATTTATTTTTTTGTCCAGCACGGTTTGGCGATAGTTTTCAAGGTTTTTTGTTTGTTGTTGTTTTTTGTCGCCGTCGTAAACAACGAAAAATTAAAAAAAAAATGTGTTATGTTGTTTGTTGTTTGTTGTTGTCGTCGTCGCGAGAGAGAGAGAGAGTGTGTGTGTGTGTAAATTTTATCATTTAAAATCTAAAAAAAAAAAAAAATATTAATTTATAACAACCGCATATAAATATAGAACATAATTTAAAGTCTATAATTAAAGCTATAAATATTATATATCAATGTAATTAATAATGAACTCGTTTTCGATTTTCCAGACAAGATAATTTCCAGTAAGAACAACAACAACAAACAATAAACTTTGTACCCGTTATACAAATATTATAATAAACATTTTGGAAAATTTATTATTATTAATATTATCATAAACGCACATAAA